CATAAATTCTCTATATATTCAGACATCCTCTCCTCTCTCTCTACCATTCATTCTTATCGAAATTTTCTGTTAGTCTACTCATTCTTTCTATCATCTTTGTCTCTCTAAAAACTAAACAATGACAAGCAAGAGAAAAGGGAATTGGACAGTGGAGGAAGATAAGAACTTGTGCAGTTCTTGGGTGATGATATCGGAAGATGGAGCTGTGGGTGTCAATCAAAGGGATACAAGGTTCTGGGATAGAGTGGCGGCGCAATTTCGATCGAACGATCGAAACACATCTCGTACTATCAAAAGCATGGCTAATCGAATGGGCACAATCACCAAATACTGCAAGTGTTGGAATTCAGCTATCCAAAGGGCAGAGAGGAATCAACCAAGTGGCACGAATCAAATGGATGTGGTATGAATTCTCCGTCACCATCATTGTTATTTTTTACCTCGTTCATTAGTACGTGTGTTCTATTTTCTAACTCCTTTTCCATCTCATTCATTTATACGTATAGGAGCATATGGCTGAACAACTCTATTTAAGCGAGACCGGAGAAAAGGGGTGGACTTTTGGTCATTGTTGGTGGATCTTGAAAAGATGCCAAAAATTTCATACAGTGATATTAATGCCATCTTCAAATCAAAGCCGCATGAGTCAAGGTTCTGATGGTTCTCCCATGGGTCTTGGTTATCAATCAACACCACAGACAGACCTCAATGACACAGAAGGAGACGAAGAAACTCCACCATTCGTCGGAGAAACTCCACCATTCGTCGAAGAAACTCCACCATTCGTCATATCTCGCCCTGCTGGACGCGACAAACAAAAGGCAGCTAAGAAGAAAGGAAAGGGGGTTGTCGAGTCATCGGAGAGCTACACTGCTCAATTGCTGGAGTATGGAAGTGAGTTGAAGGATAGGCATGCTTTGAGGACTGAGTATGAGCGAAGAAGGATGGAATTCCAAGAACAAAAATCAAAGCGTGACCAAGAAAAGTGGGAAGTTGAGAAAAAAGAGAGGGAAGCAGCACTATTTCGGAACAATCTTGATCTTATTGAAAAGGACTTGTCGAAGTTGACACCAAGAAAGAGGAAGTTTTACAAAAATCATCAAAACATGCTCCTAGGGTATGATCAAGATGATCCCAACTCTGTTCCCGACTATTCATCCAACGCAAGTCAAACTGGAGGTGGAGATGGAAATGGAGGAGGAGATGAAGGTGGAGGAGATTACGGGAATTACTATTCCCTTCTGGGTGATTATTGACATGTTATGTGTTTCTTTTTTTATCATTTCAAGTGTTGTGTGTTATTTTTAAACTTTATCATTTTCAAGTGTTGTGTGTAATATTTAAACTTTATGATTAGCAAGTGTTGTGTGTAAACCCAAATTAGGTCCATAATTTTTTGCTAAAAAAAATTCGGTCTCGAAATTCAACAAAATTCTATCGAAAAATTTGTATTTAAAAATGATGACGAACTATACAAAAATTAACATGAACAAATTATGTTAAAGTTTCGATAAGTACATTTTTCAATAAATGGAAAAACTGGAAATATTAAGAACCCCAAATATGGAATTTGTTGCATTGGAGCAAAAGAAGGGAAAATGGGGTCCAATCCCCAAATTTGGGGTTCAAGGCCCCTATATTTGGGGTTTTGCATTGGACTTGGCCTTATGAACTTGTTGAGCATAATTTTATATGACTGATCTTCCATGGTTGTTTTATCTGTGACTCATCTATTTCACTCCATTCATGGATTTAATATAAAGTTATGTTTATTTGCTACTATTTGTAGCGTGAACTTTAATTTAAAAAATTTATACTTTAAAATTTTAGAAATATCAAATTTCTCATAATTAGAAAAGTTCTACATTTTCATCTGAGAGAATTTATTTCCTACATTATCCAATACTCTTTCCAATATATTTTCTATATTTCCCGAGCTGCTTTGATTAATTTAATTAAGTGTAAACATGTTATTTGATAAAAAATTAGAAATTATATTTTTCATTAAATGCTAATTGTCGCAGTTACCAAACAATTCCCATTTTAAAATAATTTTTTCCAACAATTATGAGAGTTATAATATTTTGATTGTTGAATATATAAAAATTCGGAGTATTGTGTTAATTGATGTTGTTTGTACATGCTTGTTTCAAGTTCAGATCTCAAACCAACCTGTTCATGCACAAGATAAACTGCTAATTGTTGATGTACTAATCATGAATGAAAATGACAAACTATTTTTGTCACAATATTTGTTTCATACAACGTGAATTAAATTGACGAAATGTGGACAAAATATTCGTCACGGCAAAATATCGCAAATTGTGACAGATATGCTTTGTCATAATACTGGTTAAAAATGTGACAAAAAATAAAAATATGATAAACCATGTGACAATCAATATCGTCACAACCTACAGGTTCATCACAATACGTATCTGTAAATAATGTCTATTGTGAAAAAATGGTAGCGTGTGGTCTAGTGATGGCAATGGGGCGGGGCGGGGCGGGTATCTCAATTCCCATGCCCCGCCCCACACTACTACGGGTCGGGCGGGTAAAACCCGCGCGGGTACGGGGCGAGGCGGGTCGACCCACTCTTACATGTTGTTAAAAAAAAAAAATACAAGTAAATTTTACTTTTTACAATAAAACGTAGGGAAAAACACTTCAAGAATGAAAAATATTGATAATAGAATGGATAATTGAGCCTAACAAGTTGAAAGATCGACTCTAACTAGTTGAAGAAAAGTCAAAATAGGAGAAATATGTATAGATATTGTAAGAAATTGAGATAAAATGAGTCTAGAACGGGGCGGGGCAGGGCGGGTCGGAAGTAGATACCCATGCCCCGCCCCATCGCGGGTCAGGTCGGGTAATACCCGCGGGGCGGGTTGAAATTGCCATCATTAGTGTGGTCACAACAATATCACCTTGTTATTACAAATTATGCTCGCCACAATACGATAAACCACTATTGTGATGAAACCTAACATGTTTGTCACAATAGATCTATTACGATGGGGCCATTGCAACATAATTTTGTGACAAAGAATTTCGTCACAAGAGGAATGTTGTGAAGAAATAGACAACTATTGTCTATTGTAACAAAAAAAACTATAGGTCATAATAGACACACAAAAAAAATGTTGTAAACATGATTTTCATACTGTATGAAATATTTTATTTTATTTAAATATGGACGTAAATTTGAACATATTTGCATTCGAATATGTTGCCTCCATAATCCATTGATGATTTCTTACTTTCTCTACATGTTTTGCCAAAACCAATATTAACTCACATAAACTAAGGGGTCGTTTGGAAGTTGTGATTGTTAGAGTTGTGTTTGTTAAATACATGTATTGTGCACAATACAATGTTTGGAAGTGTCAATTTGTAAAACAATGCATGTATTGTTTTGTGTAGGTCCCACCAACAATCACAAAAAATGATGCATTATACAATCTCAACTAAAAGTTGAGATTGTTTCTTTTAGATTTGTGTCCACTTTTTCTTTCCATTTATATCCCAATATTTTTTGTTTAATACTAAAAGGTGAGGGTAAATGTGACATTTCCCTATAAAGTAACTTTATGCAAATAAATATATAAACTAGAATCTCAACAACCAAACAATGTATTGTCAAAATGCATCTATTGTATCTATGCATGCAGTGGCGGAGCCACTCATAAGGTTGGGGGGTGCAAGCACCCCCCTTGGCTTGGAGGAGCCGCAAAAATTTACGAAAGGAAAAGTAAGTTTGGGGAATTACCCTTGACCGACTAATACTAAACAATCTTACTTACAATCTTCACTTGATGAGTTTCTAATAAATCTTACGATTCTTTATATAAAATATCAAGTTAATTCTAAAATTAAACCTACAACTATTATGTTCCCATAAGAAGTTCTCCCAACAATTGTTTTTCCCCCTGTTGATACTAGTACGGTTCATACCAATTACCACAAATCTAATGATATTTCTCTGTCATAAGTTGAATTGATGTATTATTTTACCTACCATTTGATGGCAGGTTTAAAAACTCTCAAAGGGTTGACGAGTTAGAAAAAAAGTGAAAACAAATAAGCACAAACCGTATCTATCTAGTTATTTAGTTCTCAAGTTGACAATTATCTGTATGTTGCAACTATAAGTGTGGGAAGATAATTTTCACTCATGAATATACAAAAAATTATATTCAAAATTGGATAAACGATGAGTTGGTGACATATATTGAACAAGAGTTGCATGCTGGTTTGCACAAGGAATGTGTTCTACAATGTTTTCAGAATATGAAATCTCTTCGTTGTTCATTATAAGTGGTGTGAGTCGAATTATTATTATGTAATTGTAAAAATATTGAGTATTTTGCTGGCAATTTTTTATTTCGTTTAATGTTGACTTTTCTATTATATATAGTTGATTTTTTACGATATGAATAAGCACCCCCTTGACCAATTTTCTGGCTCCGCCACTGTATGCATGTATTTATATTGTAGTGATTCATTACAATACAACGATTTAACATTCGCAACTTCCAAACGAATCCTAATTATACCATCAACCGTATCATACAAGATAAAAATATGAATCGATTTGATCACAACGTTGCTTAGTTATGTGCATTATCGTGGAGCACTTGAAAGTTCCAAAAAAGTGCGCGCTCTGTACAGTGACAACCCATGCATGCTTAACATGTGGGCAAGGCAGCAGAGCAGAGCAGGGGCCACCACCACAACCTGTCGACAGATTTCTCAATCACACACCAATCCAATACTCCGCTCACTCTCTTTCTAACTATTCTTACTTTTTATATTGTCATTATTGGAATGACAACCACCATTATTATCGATCCTCTCACCTACCCAAAGATCTCTTATATCTGATTAATTGTATAAAAAAAGATTATCCCATATGGCCATATCTTTTCAATTCCACCAACCAAAAGCTTGCATGCACTATAATAAGCCCAAAACCCTACATAAGGAAAGACATTCCCCAGGACCCAAAACTTCTCATCATTAATCTCTAGCTAGCTAGACACTCACCTCAATCATGGAGTTGGTAGGCAAAAGTGGCGGCGAAGAAAGCACGAGGGAGCTTCTCGAAGCCCAGATCCAAGTATGGCACCACGCCTACAACTTCGTCACCTCCATGGCGGTCAAAGCCGCCGTCGAGCTGGGCCTGCCGGATGCCGTCCAGGCCCACGGCGGCCCCATCTCCCTCCCGGAGCTCACCTCCGCATTGGGCATCCCCCAGCCCAAAGCCCAGCACTTCCACCGCCTGCTCCGCGTCATCGTCAACTCCGGCTACCTCTCCCTCCACAAACCGCCACGGGGTCACGCAAATGATCATCACCAGGAAGTCAGTCGTTACTCTCTGACGACCGCCGGCCGGCTCCTGACGCGGGACAACCCGTACAAGGCCGGCGCATACCTCCGGATGGTCATGGCTCCGCTCCTCATGGACCCGTACCAGTCGATGGCCACGTGGCTGAAGAGCGACCGGGAGGGCACGACGCCGTTCTCGGAGGCCCACGGCGGCAGGGAGGCGTGGGAGTTCATGGCGGCCGAGCCGGAGTTCGCCGGCCTGTTCAACGAAGCCATGGGCGGGGACAGCCGCCTGATCGCGGAGCTGGTGGTCAAGGACGGCAGGAACGCCTTCCAAGGCGTCCGGTCACTCGTCGACGTGGGCGGTGGGACCGGCTACCTCGCCAAGGCCATCGCCGCCGCGTTCCCCCACGTGGATTGCACCGTGCTCGACCTGCCACACGTCGTCTCCGGATTGGGCGGAGGCGGCAACTTGAAGTACGTGGCGGGTGACATGTTCGTCCACGTCCCCGAGGCCGACGCCGTCATTCTCAAGGTGACTTTTTTTTTTTAAACGAAATTAATTTGTTTTTTTTTTCGTCGTAAGTAAGTAAATAAATAAATAAATAAAATATCAGTGGGTTCTGCACGACTGGAGCGACGAGGAGTGCGTGAGGATTCTGGAGAAAGCGAAGGCGGCGGTGAGCAGCAAGGGGAGGTTGGGGAAGGTGATGGTAATCGAGATGGTGGTGGGGAACCAGAGCCTGGACGAGAAGTCGGTGGGCGTGCAGTACGGGTTCGACATGGGAATGATGATCTCCGTGACGGGGAAGGAGAGGGACGAGGAGGAGCTGGCCAAGCTCTTCTTTCAAGCCGGCTTCACCAGCTACCACATCAATCCCATTCTCGGCACCAGAGCTCTCATCGAGGTCTACCCATGACGTCATGTGTGTTTTCAGAATAATTAAGCATGGGCAATTATTAATTATGATCAGGCAGCCCCGTTGTCGTCGTTAATATATTGGATTAGCTAGAGTGTTGTTGGTGTACGAGGAAGTATTACCCCGTACGGTTCTTGTTCTGAATAATAAGTATTTATTGGCGACGACATGGTAAGGTTATTCTCTTGATTTGATGTGTTTTTCCCCACGCGTGATAATAAAAAGGGTAGGGTGTCTAATTCGTGGAATGTATTAGGTATGTGTGGGTGTGACATGTGTACATGTTGTGATCTTGCGCCCAATGTCTAGTGAGAGGGGCTGAGATCAGGTGACTAAGGGGGTCCCCTTAGTCACATGGCTAAGTGAATCTCAGCCACTCAACCTCATTAAAATCCAAGGACTCCTATTAATCTAATTTAATGAAGGGCAATGTAGTAATTCAATGTTTATTTTTAACTTTTAATTATAAAAGAAATATTAAAAAATCAGCGCCGCGTCCCTTTGCGTCGCCTCCCTCCCCGTCCGGTTAATTGCGCCGTCTCCGGCCTCCCCTCCCCGTCGGTTGCGTCGTCTCCGACTTCCTGGGCGCGCGCCATTATATTATTTTTCTTCCTGGGAGCCATTATTCCATTCCCAAAAGAGAGAGAGAGAGATTTTATGATCGGAAAATTTTTTTCGGCGAACATCGTCGCCGGAGAAAAATTTCCCGGCGACAGTGCTAATTTTGTGATGTTTGTTGGCATATTTTGTAATGTTTGTATGTTTTGTTATTTTGTAATGTTTGTCGATTTTTTTTGTAATGTTTGTAAACTTTGTTATTTTTGTGCACCATGTTTGTAAACTTTGTCATTTTTGTGCACCATGTTCGTAATGTTTTTTTATGTCTAAAAAACACCCAGGTTGACTTTGGGAAGGAGCCCCTCTATATAGGGATGGAGCCTCCAAAGTCAACCCGGGTGTTTTTTCCCGTTCGTATGGATTGTCGGTCTAGTTTGTCATTTTTGTCCACCATGTTCGTACTGTTTGTATGTCTAAAAAACACTCAGGTTGAGTTTGGGAAGGAGCCCCTCTATATAGGGATGGAGCCTCAAAAGTCAACCCGGTTGTTTTTTCTTTTTGTATGGTTTGTATTGTTTGTCAGTCTAGTTTGTATTGTTTGTACAGTTCATACGTTTGTAATGTTTGTAAATCTGTTTGTATGTTTTGTCGCTCTAGTTTGTACTGTTCGTATGTTTGTATGGTTTGTACTGATTGTAAATCCGGTTTGTATACTTCGTAATTTTCCATAATACCCAAACTACCCCTGTCATTAATTAAATAGCCCTTCCCACTTTTTAACTATTGGATTGAAGTATTCAGATCTAATGGCTAGGAGGGACTTAGCCAAGTGACTAAGCACCCCCCCTTAGTCACCAGATCCGCTCTCTAGTGAGAGGCCTCTCAAATTGGGATTGGGGCCAAGGCCTGGGCAAAAGACCCTTGTCTCGAGGAGGAGCAATGGTTCTAGGGAAATTAGACAAGGGAGAAGAAGAAGAATAGAGAAGCTAGGAAGTGGAAGAGAGGTAGAGTAGAGAAGAAAGAAAGGGTTGGCTAGCTTCGAGGGAGCCTTCCTCCTTCAGGGGGTTTCTTGGCTTGGTAATTGTCTGCCATTTTATTCCATTCAACCAAACTTAAATAGCAATAAAGACTCAAACGACTCTCAGTCATTGAGGCCTACAAAACAGGGGATGATCTCAACAAAGAAAACAAACAGCAAAATAAAGGGAACAAACTGAGATGGGTCTCTAACGGTATAGAAAAGCTCAATGAGCTTAGGGTTTGTAGGGTTAGAAGAGAGAAGAAGAAGGTAGAGGCGGCACAAAATGAGGGAACCCGCAAGGAGTGATTCTCCTCTGCTGCATTGTATTTATACCAAAGTGAGAGTTTTTTCCAGAAATAGCACCTTTAAAAAAAAAATTACAAAACTAGCACCCTCCCAAAAATATTTACAAAACTAGCACCCTTTTTTATTGACCGCACCCTTGTGGTGCGTTTTACAAATAAACCGCATCCTCCAGATGCGTTTTATATGTAAACCGCACCCTCCAGATGCGTTTTATATGTAAACCGCACCTGGAGGGTGCGTTCTATTCTGGTGGGCCTAAAACGCACCTTGGCCATGCGTTTTCATGTCTGGCCTACATAAAACGCATGGCCGAGGTGCGGTTTAGGCCTGACCTACCCAAACCGCAGCTTAGTGATGCGGTTTATTCCTCCAAGAACAAACCGCATTGCTAAGGTGCGGTTTGGCCATGTAGATATAGAGATAAAAATCAAAGTACATAGAGATAAAAATCAACTCAAAATACATCTCAAGGAAGTCCACGAGCGGATGCGGAACCCACAGTTTTCTTGCTCCTTGTACGTTTGCCGACGGGAGTAACAACGGGTGGTGGAGGTGGCAAGTTTCGAGCGGCCGAGGTAGTGTGGCGCTCGTCGGTGCTATGTCGGCGGGGAAGCGGCACTTCCGGGGTCGATCGGGCGACATCGGCGCTCATACGGTGAGGAGTAGGAGGCCACTGCTGATGAGGTCGATTCCATGGGGTGAACTCGTGTTGGCCTGTCGTGGAGGAGCCATCATGCCAAGTCCCAGATGATGTTTGGCGGGGAGATTGTCGGGAATCGTAGTATGTTTCGCGGGGATCGTTGTATGAGATCGAGGTGGGAGATAATGGGGCTTGGTGGAAACTCTGAGAGGATTGATGGTAGGTCGAGCGGGGATCGTAGTATGAGCTTTGGTGGTGATCGTTGTGGAAGAAGGGGCGTAAATCTTGGGATGAAGTCGGGCCGACATCTTGTGAAATAGTCGGGCGGGGAGATGGGGCGGAGGACGGGCGGGGAGCTTGGGTGGAACTCGGTCCGGCACCTTGGGTGGAACTTTGTCCGACACCTTGGGTGACAACCAATGGGGGCGGCACTCTCCACCCCCCATATGGCGTTACCTCGGGCTCGATGGGCCTTTCCCGAACCCTCTTGCTCTTCTTTCTCTCGTATGGTGGTGGAGGTGCGGGGACATCAAGTTGTACCAGAGGTGGTGGGGGTGCGACCGCGGGCGGATATCTACGATGATCCCGGCCCTGAGCTCTGATACAGCCAAGTAGACTGTTTGCAATCCTCCTGATGAAGCCCACATCTTCATTTCCCAACTCATTTCTTCCGGTAGTAATATCTTTAATCCGCTCGACCCCATCAGCCTAAATCAAAAAAAAGGAAAAAAAAAGGTTAGAAAGAGATTTTAGGAACCAAGTAATAAATCATAGTATGTTTAGACTGGTTATACTTACTAATGCACCATCGGCCGCACCCTCCGGAGTCATGTAACGAACCGATGTTTGCTGATATAGATCCAAGTATGGGTCATGATACCCCATTCGGCCCACTTGATTTGGAGTGACAATATCCTGTAGTTGTCGGTTCTCCCAAATTGCGATGAATTCCCTCAACTTCGTGGGCCAATCGCGAGTACCTTGCCGACCATCTCGGCCATGGAAGGCCTTTTGACTTTCGGGGACCTCCAACGGAATGCACTGTTCCCGACCAAACTGACGGAGGCATCGATCCGGCAAGTGCCACTCCACGGTCCCAAAACAAATTAGAGGAACCCTCGTGCACCATTGCCCGATATGACCGGGGAATTGCTGGAGATGCCATTGAACGATGTTCTCCGGGTATGGATCGAAGATGATTTACAAGAAAGAAATGAGTAACGTAAGATTAATTAATTAGAAAAATACATGTTGTCCCATGAAAAACAAATATAAATGGATCGCAGTATAGAAGTTACCTCTCCTTCCCAAAGTCGCTCAAACCTCCTCCGATACTCCTCCAACTTGTGTTGGGCAAGGTTGTCGCATGTTGTGTGTCCAAGCCACCTTATTAATAAGACAAGAATGAAACTACAATAAGCTAAAACACAAGACAAAATGTGTTATGACTACATGATGGGGTATGAGAAGTTTACCTTGCTCCATAAGCTTCACCTCTTAGGGGATGATCGATTGGCCAATCCTTGTCTGGACGTTGGGCCGGTGCAAGCCATGGCATATGCTCCCAAGCCCAAAATTGGACGATGAACATTGCGCCGCTGACCTCCCTCACGGCTTTTAGAGACCCATTGCACAAGTTGTTGTAGATGATAGCTAGGCAAGCGGATGCCCAACTATACTCCCCCATCTCCTCCCAACTACTGAAGATGATCCTAAGCCATCCACAACTAAGGAGATTGCTTGATTTCTTGGAGAAGAACACTCCTCCGATCATGCCTATGAGATAGACACGAGCATATCTCTCCTTCTCATCCTCCGGACTTTCCTCGGTTAGGGGGTGACTCTCGTAATGCTCTCTAAAATACTTCGTCAACCATGTAATTGAGACTTGGTGTTTCCTCATTGGTGGCATGCGATCGGTCGCATCAACGCAACCCTTCACCGGTACTTTCACTCCCAAATGACTGTGGATGAAATGCTGCCAACCGGGCATACCGTCACAATCCTCGGGGGGATGATCACTCACGCACACCGGTTTGCCGTCGATGGGCAGATGGGTTAGGATGGCGACATCCTTTAGCGTGATGGTGGCCTCTCCTTCTCTAAAGTTGAAACAATGGGTCTCCTTTCTCCATCTCTCGGCTAATGCGGTGATGAGTTGGCGATCGATTTGGATGCCGTTAAAATGCCTAATCGAGTCTAACCGTGCCCTTTTGAGAAATGGCAAGATAGCTGGGTGGAATGGGAGCGCATTGGTGGTACCCCTGTAGCGGATTATTGTTTGTGCCTCCTAGCAAAAATGTACACGTTAATTATTATTAGTAAGGGTTTTTTTTCGTATAACTAAATTAATTAAATTAAATTATGCGACATAAAACATAATTTTATTATCATAAAAAGACATTTCATATTATCATAAAACAAACGTCCTAAATTAATTAACATAATAACATTGTCAATGAATAATAATTTAAAGAGGTACATACATATTAGGGCTAATACCACTGGGAAACCCGAACTATTAACTTTGTGTCATTTGTGTCCTAAAGTATTCGATATGACATTTGTGTCCTAAACTATTTTTCCGTTAGAGTTGACTAGCGTTGACCGTTAGTTTTTAACAGAAAGTCTAGTCAGCGCTTATGTGGCATCTGATGTGGAACTTTTATTATTATTTATTTATTCTTATTGCTTAAAAAATAATTAAA